AAAATGATAAGGATGATTAGTCAAAGACTTGGCGTGGATTGTGGAGTAGGAAGAGATGGTGGGGACCGATGGACAGCTATATGTTATGTGTGATGTGACCTCTCTCTCTCTCTCTCTCTCTCTCTCTCTCTCTCATCTCATCTACCCTTTGTCCTTTTACTTTCACGTTTTTTCTGACCGATTTGTCCATGAAATCATTGGTGACATTACTCCAACACTCCAATTTTGTTTTCCGAAGATTCCATTCTAGTCGGTTGGCCATGTGATTCACGAGCTTCCTATCCATTGGTTCAGGCACATTTTGTGAGAGCTTCCTTTTCATTTTATTACTAACGATTTACAAAGTTTAAACTGTTAAATAAAAGTGTGATTGTCAATAAATATGCAGTCCTGCTAGTAAACGGATTGGATGGGTGAGGACGCTAATATCACAATTGCAGGGTTTGACTCCCGTGCTCTGTAAGAGGTAGAGCAAAAGTCAAAGCAAAAGTCAGAGAGTGAGAAGAAAGTTAGAGATAGGGCGAACAAAAAAAAATGAAAGTGTGATTCAATATATGATTATTCTAACACTTCCTACACTTAGGCTAGACTTTGGCCTAGTATTAAACATGGAAATACATAATGTGGCGGCAAAGAAGGGGCCTGAAAAGATTCGAATTTAGGACCTCGTGTTCTGATATGATATAAAATTTAATGGGATCACTGTCAACTGTTCACAAAACTTAACTAGTAAGTAGAGGGAGACTAAAAGTTGCACATTGAATTTGACTTACAGGAGTGGAAGCACACCAAAAATGGGCAGAACTTGACTTTAATATCATGTGAGATTACTATCAACGGTTCTAAAAACCTAAACTATTAGATGAATTCGTGGTCTAATATGTAAAATATTCTGACAAATTCCCTACCCAGTGTAGTGATTCACAAGTACATCCAAGAAGCATTGATCAGAGTAAAAATGGATCCATCTAACTCATCATTCATGAACATAATTGTGACATCTTGAAATTCTCCATTTCCTAATGTTATTTTGGATATTAAGATAATAAATGGTTTAACTGAATTATTTGATAACTTCAACAAATTATAACTTTGTCATTGAATCTGTTAAGTTAGGAAAATTTCTAGATAATTAATTTTCAAATCCATGATATTTAAGTATGTGACTTTGTAGGGGCCTATTAAATCTTTTAAAGGGTCAAGAAGGTCAGTGCAGAGTTAGAATTGTTGCAAATGCTTTGAAGGTTCATGAACATACAAACTTTATAAGAACGTAGAATTTATTGGTTTTTGCAATATCTGAACACGTCATAATTGAGTCTACTAACTTTAATATGCATAAATGAATAGAATTTAGCACATCAGATGTTATCTAAGAGTAACAGTGCAAAATGGGTTGACATAGTATGTTTTGGACGAGACGATATACCCTGAAAAGCATATATGGTAATTATCAAAGTGAAATCTTTGTATTAAGATTACTCAGGCATTCTACAAGCCTTTCTATTAATTGAAGTGGTTTCAAAATGTTTTTCTGTCTTATCGGCGTTTAGAACGGACACCGAGTTCTTTCATTATTTACTGAAATCTTAAATATCTTCTGAAAAACAACAATGTTGCCCTTAAACCTACTTGACCAACAATTGTCACTAATATAGTATGTCACATCCCTTAGCTTTTCACCTAGTTTCTTACTATCAAATTACATCATGTCTGATATGAAGTTTCTAACTCTAACCCATTCATGTTCTAGATAAGCTTGCATATCAAGACTCCTCATTTATGCACCTACTTGGCCAATCAAGCTCTCTCCCCTCTTACAACCACAAGCTTTGCCAACCAAAGATAGCCACTTATCACTCATTTAACTTGCCACATCTCCTGAATTCTCGACCATATCTTTTAGTCAAGAGATGGCATCATCCATGATATCACTTTAACCTTGGTTAGTTAATGATTTTGTTTTTGGTCGGAAGGTTAGTTAATGATTGAATGTACGAAACGTGAGACTTATTTCTCATTTCCTTTCCAACCATCATCTTTCTCACCTGACTCATTCATGTTCTTCTCTATCAAAACTAGAAGGCTTATCACTGAAATCTATCCAAATACCTTAAATTTTAGATATTTGCAAGCTATGATCAAGAACTTCAACTTAGCGTGCTCCATTTAATCAATGTTCTTAGAGATAAGGTTTTCTCCCTCAAAAGTATCGTTAGAGTAGGTGTTTGATTTGCTTAACCAGTGTTAATTCAAGATTGCATCACTTGATTTTAAGGTGGATCAAGCTCTATGTTCACTCAAATCTTCTATCCAAGGTAAGTGAATCTCTAGGGACTAAAGTGGGTCGATCCATTTAGTACCTTTGATCCTTGTTGAGTTTAGCTTGAAGTATGTATAGTATCAATGATTACATGATGAGCTAAGAGGCAAGGCTATAATTATGAGACAACAAGTAGTTGGTTTAAGAGTAAAATAATGCTTGTCGATACTCACTTGTACTCTTGTCATGAGTTACATGAAATGTCCACCATGTTCATGATGCCATTAGAAGATGCAACGAGTCATCCTGCAGATCTGGGCTATATTTCTCGAATAAGAACATGGTTGAGTGATTTCAAGAAGATTTTGAATGACTTTGATGAGTAAATGTATTGGAAAGATGAAACTATGCATGTGAAGGGGTCAAGTAGTGATTTTGTGTAATGCAAAGGCAAAAAGAATACGTGATAGATCAAACGGAATTGAGTAAAAAATATGATTGAATGATTTACACAAAACAAACGGAGTCCAAGTAATAAATCATTTATTGCCTCCGAAATCATTTGAGAAGAAGAAGAATATGGCTGTTGGCGTCCGGGCACGAATTCTGTGGATGGAGATGAAAGCTGTACGAACTCAAACTACTGTCCATTTCATTTTCAAAGCGAAGGGACAGTGCACGACTCGTTACAGTCCATAAGCTCACGACCCGACCAACGACATCGCCCTTCGCTTTCGTCCTTGCGCATGCTCATGATTTGTTTTTTGGTCGTCAAGTGAAGATGATTCATTGCGTTGGAGGAGGAGAATCTTATGCTAATTTCGCAGTCACCTTCTAACTTCGTTTTGCTTAAACTTTGCCTCGCTTGTGTAGCGATTTAGGAAAATGTTTGCCCCTAGACCGGCTCGAATGGACAGGTCGAGCCGAGCTTATAGTCGGGCCTAACTTAGTTCCCGCCAATAAAAAAAATAAAAGGGTGCATGGTAATTTTTGGGTTTTGTCGGCACATTGCGCCACTTGAGCCAGAACTTTTTTAGGGGAAATTATTCAATCGGTCCTAAACATACTATACGGACGTAAAAATATAGTCCTAAACAAAGGGTGCATGGTAAGATTTAATTTTATCCTATAAATTTGAATCCTTTTAAAAGAAGTAAATCACTTTTTCGTTTTTAAATAGAAAAATCCCACCAAAAATCCCAACTTTTTCCTGTGGAACACCAATATCTTGAACATTTTTTCGCCTCATCGATTTTCTCAAACTTGTACCGGTGACCCGACAATATATTCCGTCACGGTTCCGTATATAATGGCCATTCAAAAACTTACGTGGCGTCTCCTACAAGTCAACATTAGGGTTTTTTATGGGGTTAATCCTTTTTAAATTGAACTTACTCTGTTTAAGACTCAAAATACAGTAACATGGATGAAGGTGCAATTGTAACTCGATTACTACATCGTGCTCATTATCTTTCACAAGAGTAATTTGATATATAGTCTAATAAGAGAAATTAAATGATTGACCAAACATTCTGCAAAATTACATTTTGGTGCTTCCACGCATTTTATAATTTTCTTTATTTTTTGACATTTATCTTCTTGGGCAAATTTTAACATGTAGAATGAAAATTAATTTAACCCTTGGAAAATAACCAAAATGACTCAAGTTTAAAGTGAAATAAATAACTAGGAGGTATAATCAGTATCTCAAGCATTTTCTCCTTTGCTTAGCCTTATTATGTGTGCAATGAATCTTACGGTGATATAAGATTGCATTTTCCAATGCTTTGCCTAATTATCTACTCCGAGAGAAATTTAAATATGTTCATATATTAGATAGCATACCTGAATCCAATAGCATTGAAGCTAACACTTTCGTTGGCGAGGCAACATCGGATCGATCGCTGATTGCAGTTAAAGTCGTTACGGTAATGTCAATGGCAAAGACTCGCACCGAGTTCATCTAATAATCTTCTCCAAACAGGATACGACCGGACTTAGAACTCCATCTGCATTCAAGGCCAAACGTGTGTCGAACAATCTAGCATTACTGTCAACAATACTATGATCTAAGGTTTGAAAACAAAAAGAAAACCAAAAGATGTATGATACAGAACTTTGAATCCAGATCGGCCGGCCGAGCAGCCTTTTCATGGCCATTTTCCGAACCAGCATCTGACTTTAAAAGCCGCACAGCGCTGCCGTGACCGTGATCGGGTCTAATGCTTCAAGTCAAGCTCCTTGAAGTCCCCAGTCATTCAAACGCTGCCATTGAGTAGCTCATAAAACAGGACTAAAAATTATCAAATCGCGAAGTTTTCACAGTAAAGAAATTGGTCAGCATCATATGCGAACGAATACTTTCATGAAATGATACGTGAGGTGATGGCCAACAAAAGGAAACAAGAAAGAAAGACGAAGAAAGAAAACGATACAGAAGGTAGCGAACCCAATACTTTCTCGTGTACGTATTGCTCGCCCCTCAGCAAGTGATTTCGAGGAAAAGAGTTATTAAGCAGATTTCAATGGCATTAGAATCAGGAATGCATGCACGAGTCTCGAATAAGTCTAACTTGTTCAAACGATTCTTTGAACAATATTGCTAGGAGACGTTCTCAGAAGCAGCAATACAAAGAACCAAGTTATAATGCTAAATTTTCTTCAATGAATCCAAACATATTTCTTCCTCTCCCAGACCATGCCAATTTGGCATAAGCAGTCTTTATCATGCGAAGACTTGGAGAAAGAAAGAAACGCGACACTTTCTAATAGTAAGAATTCACACTTCAACAAATCCTGGGGGAGAAACATTTCACTAAACGGAGTAACAGGAACCTTAACCTCACACCCTGGATTATGTACAAATGTGTTCATTCCTTACATTTTCTCATCTCTGTCGCGTATAACTGAGTGTAGATAGATCTGGTTGCAAGATACAAGAATACCTATCAAGTCGATGGAATAGCAATCACTAGACTACCAAAAATTAGTCACGCGGCGACATCGGCACCAGAAAGCAGTTCCACCGCTTTTCCCTCGAGCGACTGCTATTTCCTCATCAATGTAAAACCAGATAAAGAAAGGATCCTTGGTGCTTGGCTCTCTGTCCCCCTGTTGGCCGAGGCCGATTTCTAATGGATTGAAAGGGCCGATTTTAATCCTTATGTGCTCGAAAATAAAGGCGAGTATCTGCTTCTTCCACGACAATCTACCCTCAAATGTCAAGTATCCAAGCCCACCAAGGTACACCCCATTCTCGATCCTCTTCCCCTGGCAATCCAAACGAGGATCTATCAAAGTCGAGGAAGTGAAGAGAAAATAGACACACCAAGATCTATGTGGGATTTATGGGATAGTAATGTAGGTGATTTGATTTCTAACAGTGAAACGTGAAGCTCTATAATACACGAGGGGAAAAAGAAAAGATTGCATGACAAGCAAAGCCTAAATGAGGAAGAAATCTAGCAGTATGTATACCACCATCAACATTTCACCATTATTTATATGTTCTAGCTAAATATAACAAAAAGAGAAGATGAATCAGCATTGTGGTTATGCTTCAAAAGAATCGAGTACAGAATGACCTAAAAAATTTGGATGAACAATAACATCATTGACAGAATTAGCTTCATGCAGAAAATAGTCAACGAAGATGAATAGCATAACATCAAGATTAACTATGAACGCTGCCTACATACATAAAATAGATCCGTAATCACTTCAAGCAATAACATCCACCATTATCCGTAACACTAATATTACTGCTAGGTTCGGCCCAAAATGAAGGAAGACGACAGTGCTATTAATGTATACAGAACTACTTCAAGGAAAGTAAGATAGACTTCTGAACTTGCTCTCCTCCGCATCACTGAATTACACATGACAACTTTCTACAGAAGAATTATGTAGAGATCATTATTCGATTGTCCTGATGAAGTGTGGAGCATATCCACTAGTCATTAGCATCGTAGAAACTGTAAAGTACCTTTTACTCTTCTTTATTTCCTCTAAATTTTGACAACCTCTTTGACAGTGGCTGCGTTTCAGTAGCATCAATTGGGGGAAAGAAATAGCCTTGAAAATAAAAAAGACAAGACTTACAGCTGCATCAAACCTCTGAACTGCCGTCAATGGGAAATACCGTCCTTTCTTCAATTTATTCTGCCAATTCAAATTATGAAAAGAGGGCGAATAATCAAAAAGTAACACTAACTCTAATTGATGGTTAATGAATCAAATTCATGATGCAGACGAGAGGCGGATCACCTACCTCAGCCGTGAAAATGAGCATCCATGTTCTCCCTGGTGATTCTGAGCCCCCCAACGTACTAAGAAACCCGGATGGATCAAGCTTTGATTTCTCAATCACAGAGAGAGCAGAAAGAACCTCCTCTGCCGGAACCTTTCTAGTCTTTGCAGCATCCTTCAGAACTCTTATACTCTCTGCAATTTCCTTAAACCAAGAAAAGCTCTCATGATTAAACACCTATTCTGAAATTGAGTGCTTTTCATCTGCAATGGTCTTGACACAGTCCAAATTTTTTTCCTTCTAGAAATTGCATAAGGCAATAAGCTCTAACCTCTGATACACCAGACAATGTACAGCAATAACTTCAAAGTTTTGAACTTGACAGCATCTTTCCAAGGACCCAGATTGGCATACAATTAGATATGCAATCTCATGATTAAACACCTATTCTGAAATTGAGTTCTTTTCATCTGCAATGGTCTTGACACAGTCCCAATTTTTTTCCTTACAGAAGTTGTATGATACAATAAGCTCTAACCTCTGATACACCAGACAATGTACAGCAACAACTTCAAAGTTTCGATGTTTACAGCATCTTTTAAGGACCCAGATTGGCATACAATTAGATATGTAAACTCGATGAAAGATAGCACTGGACGCTTACTCTATTGGGCTGCTCTTCTTGAACAAGAAGTGGGGTGGTCGCGATCTGGTCCTTTTCATCCAAGTTGCTCTGATTCCTGTTCTGGGACATTTCAGGAGAGGAGGGTTTATACCTCTGAAGGAAGGAAAACCAGTGAATCTGATACTAGGGAAGCGTTGGAGGGATGAATTTGAGTGCTTGATTAAGGATGTTTGGGAGGAACTTCTTAAGAACAAGCAAGAAGAAACAGAGGCCTGTGAACTCATTTTTCTATTAATGGATCCTGATAATTCTTCTGGGGTGAGGTTCCATTTTTGACATCTCTCCTAGCTCTTCCATTGCAATTGAGTGGACAGGATTTCCCGACGCTATTTTCCCATTACATTTTCTTCCGGGAAAGCTTTGTGGCACTGAAAATATACCGGACACTCGTTGACGTTTAGCTCAGTTGTGAAACACAACCCGATTCTAACACCTCTCTCTCTCTCTCTCTCTCTCTCTATGAAGCAATGTTATGTTTTATTGGTAAAAGGATGGGAAGGGCTACCACCAGCGACCCAAAGGTTCAAGATTAAGGAACCCGCTACTATAATCCTATCAAGATGCTAGTAATCAAGAAGTTTCCCCTCTCGAGCTACATCATAGCTAGCAATGGCCGTTAAGATTAACGGACCGTGCCGAGAGACCCATTTGGAGAAGGGGGATGACCCCTTTCTTGCCTAAGTTGGTATCCAAGCTCTAGCTCAATTTTAAAAAAAAAAATAGTGACCCAACCATTTAATTGAACAATTGTTTGTTTTAATTAATTTTCAATGAAGTAATTGAGTCCAATAATATAAAATTAAAAAGAAGCCAAAAAATAACGTGCTCCGGCCTAGCACATGGACCGAGCCATGCTTGGCTCAGCACAGGTATGGTCCGTGGCCATTGCTAATCGTCACTAGGCAACGCAGCACAAAAAATTCAGAGGTTTGCTCAGGATATAAATCGAACGTGATATCGTGAAAGGAAGGCGACTCCTTTACCACTAGACCAATTACGTTTACAACGTGTGAACCGATATTTGCTTAAAATTTATCATGCAAATATAGTAGCAACCTCCTAGGCTCCTCGTTCTTAGTAGAAAGTGGCTAATGATAAGGGGTTAAAATTGGGCAAGTCAACGTTGAGAAGTCGTTATTGTAGCTTGATCTCACTAATCTTGTTATGTTGATGGTGTCCTAGCCTCATTGTCTTCACACAACGATTTATCTGTCTACCTCTTGTTTCACCTTTGTTTAGTTCTTGAGAATTTCATCAACGAACTCAACTCTTTAATATCATTCAGTTTCACTCGAACATCAATGGCATTTCCCTTTTCAGAGAAAGGATCGCGAGGGCTACTATCCATCATCGGAGAAAATATCATATGTTTCCGTAACCCAATTTTAGATCTGACACGTGGATATTATTGGAATGATAAAAATAAAATTTTGATTTTCCTCTCTTCCTCCTCCATCCACATAGCACCCGCCTGCCTGGCCATCTAGGCTTGCGTCTATCGTCAACCCGACAAGTGGTATTACCAGCGAGTTAGCCAAGCTAGGCCGCGTTCAGGGCCCCCATCTCAAAGAGCAACGACGAGTCTTCCAAGAGTTGAAATTTCATGTAGATGGTGTGTGGAAAGATAATGGAAGGGCCATAGGTATTGTTGCGCAATCGTATAGAGGCTCAGTTGTCTAAGCGTGGACAAGACGAGGAAGCTGGAACTCGCCAGTGGAAGTGGAAGCTGCAGCTCTTCTTCTCGCATGCAAAGCTACTCAATCCCTCGGCATCCACAAAGCGATTTTTGAAGTGATTGTAAGGTGTTAATTGATGATATTCAATAAAAGGTTGGAATTTGAAGTGGCATTTGCCCTTAGTGTATTCTTCCTTTCGTCTAGGACTCTCGCTCACTACCGAGCAATAACCGAGTTTGAAGTGGACCAATAGATCTAGTAATGTTGTTGCTCATGAGCTTGCAAAATGAGCTTTTTATCGGTTAGGAACTGCATCATCTTTCCTTTTTAATGATCTCCCATCTAGAGTTAAAAATATAGCGTTAGCGGAGTCTTCTTTAATTTATCGTCTTGACGTAGGCTCTAGTTTCTTTGTATAATAGTTGAACTTCTTTGATGCAATAAAAGGTTTGTTTTAGCCAAAAAAACACGAGTCTTTTAATAGCTTTGGAGATTGAGATGAGCAAGACCGTATCTGGAGTCCTCCAAATTCAGATCTGAATAAGCAACAACTAACGGAAGGGTGGCTTGGAAGGGGAGGAGATTGTTCGATGGTGGCATCCGAGTCGAAGGGCCAGTGATCTCAAGGGTCAATGATCCATCGCCATGAAAGAGGCGCCGCTGGGCTCCGTCTTCCCAACGAAGGTAGAGGGAAAGAACTCAATGCTGGTCTAGATTTGCAACCATAGCAATGGCAATTCGTCTGAGGTCAGGGAAGACAAAGCCAACCAGATCTGGCCAAACAAATGCCGATGCTCGTCCTGCTCATCGACGGCGGCCTAGGACGAGCATCAGCATTGCTCGAGAGCTTGGTTCTTTCATGGTTGGCCGATGACGCTACTGTCCATGGCTAGTTGGTGGCGCTGCTGTCTATGGCCTGCTCTTGTCCACCGTTGTGAGCCACAGCGCCAACCATGGACAAGTGTCCACGTCACTCGCTAGCCTGGCTCGTCCATGGCCAGCCCATGGCCAGTGACACTGCTGTCTGTGGCCGCTCGTCCATGGCCTCAAAAGGCCAAAAGAAAAACAAAGGCAAACAACTCGTTCGAAGTCAAATGGCTGGTGAAGAAGAAATTCTTTATCATGTTAATTCCGCATCAGCGGACATGTGTCAATTTATGAGTAGATGCGAGTAAAAAATGCACGCAACATCAACTGCCGACGTGGCGCCCTCCCATCAAGAAAAAAAGTGGAAATGTGCACCTGGAGGTAACTTGATTGCCGACATAAAGATAAATAAAAGAAAAAAGAACATAATGAAAGAGATAGTGACATTCCAATGCTCAAAAACACTTCGCAACTCCGCCATTGCGTATGGACTAAAAGGTAAGTAAAACAAAGTGCGCATTGGACTATTGTCACATTGCAATAGAGAAATCCTTGAATAACTTTTTCAAGTGTATGCAAACATTTCCAACTCTCAGAAAATTCAAATTGACCAATGTAAACTCAAAGGATGATGAGAGTGAAGAGGACAATAAACCTATAGATTCCTAAGGGAAAATCAAGTAGCTCATGTCATTCTGTTCCTATGAGATCACATCACAAGAACCATCCAACTCATCTGGACAAAATCATACCAAAACTCTTTTGACTGTATAAAAATGTAGCTGATGACTTTATACTTACCCCTTCCAAACACACAGGGCACAATGATGTAAGAACACACTTAAGTGTGCACTGAACCACCATTGACCCTGCTCTCCATTACGTCCCAGGCTCCAGTACAGACTATTAAGGACTAACATATATGACCAAGTAAAAGGTGTGGCCGCAACAATTCAAGAACACAGCTGTAGCCCTTCCAATGTGGTAGACTTTGAGATTTATGGAATCTCTGCCTCCTGTAAGAGCACAACCCTTCAGCATCCGGTATAAAAACTCTTTTTACAGACTATTGTTGGGTTATATGAAGCTGTGGGCAATAGCTCAGCTAAATCTGTCTACCATGATGAAAGGCATTTTCAAAAATGTTGTACCATTTAATGCATGATAAACAATGGTGTCAGGACATCACAATTCACAAGCTCCTTGAACTTTAGCAAAAAAAAAGCTCCTTAAACTTTGGCAAGTGAAAAATGACAGCCATTAGAAAAACCTACCTAATACCAAAACTGTTTAAGCTCGAGCATTTGATGGCAAATCAGTCACCTTCCCCACAGCAACTGTTTTTCCTGTAAAAGAGATCTACCAAGTGAGTCCATACTTCAAAGTGTAAAGCAAAAATCATTGATTTAACATGTAGACAGGAAATATGATTTTTATTCACCTTCAGTGCGAAGGGTAAATCTTCCAAGCTGTGCAAAATCAGAGAATTTCTCAACGCATATTAGGTTATTCACCTAAAATACAAATTCACAAGAAGATGAAGTCAACATTAGGAATAGGCAAGAGACAGATAATGCTAGATGCTATATGCTCTTCCAGTATAGATCAACCTGAATCCGGCATACGACAACAGCACCATTCTTCACAAACAGAATTTTCTTTTTCATCGGCTTCTTCGTCTTGGGATCAATTTGTTGTAGCAACTCAAGAATCTCACATTCCTCCACCACCGAATGAATATGTAGCACTGCCTTATAACCAGCCGTGAAGATTGCCTATGATGGTGATGCAGGTTAAGGTATCAAATACATGAATGACAGAAGGCACGATGCTCATTCAAAATGACAAAAGCTAAAACACAAAGTTCCAAATACATACATTGTCCAGCAACTCAAGGATTACCAGTTGAGCAACAAACTCAGTAACTGCAGCTATTGGTTTGGCTGCACATGGATAAAATAAGTTAAGAGGGTCATATTTAAGAAGTACTGTATATTGCCTAACTCACATGCAAGAAAGGAGATTAGAAGGGACAGAGGGTGGGAGACGCACCAATGCTCGACAAGACAAATCCTGACAATATGTCCTCTTCCTCAACCCCAGATACTCTAACCCGGAGATTTTCACCAGGTCCTGCACGTTTAACCTTGTTGTCATCAATTAATATTGCAAGCACTTTCACTGATGCCTGCAAAAGAAAGGTAAAGGGAAGAAGTGTCAAAATCAAGCCCGATGTATATCTACCTTCAATAGTATCAAAATAAAGCCGGGTAATTTGACCTTATTTGGCATGACAATCAAGGATTCGCCCTCACGTATACTGCCAGATTCTACTTTACCCATAACAACCGTTCCCATGTCCTTGAATTTGTCAATTATAGGCATCCTGAAAGTTGATTCAAATGATCAACTGCACAAGCAAAATCTAAGCATCCTTCCAACCAATAAAAGCAAGTCCATACAGAATTCATGAACACAGGCTGAAAGTGTGTGTGGACATGCCTGTGTTTGCGTGTGCACGAGAGAGAGAGAGAGAGAGAGAGAGAGAGAGAGAGTTCAACTTTTCACTAATTAAAAATTTTCCATCGACCCAAAGCCACATCATTTCTCACAGAATATACAAAATAATCTTCTTTAATCTTTCCTGCTCTTCTTAAGAAATCAGTAATAAAATTATCAAAAGAAGAAATCATGGCCCACAATAATTTAAAGACATGATATGCACCACACCAACAAATTCACATGAGAAAGACTTCAAATTCAAACGAGCGGAGACATCAATCCCAGAACATAGTCCTTGAAGAGAAACAAGGAGTATCTCAGTCCCAGCTCCCCATTCAACTGCAGAGATAA